CCCCAAAACCCCAAAACCCCAAAACCCCAAAACCCCAAAACCCCGGTTGGTGGTTTGGAATTGACAAACATCTATATTAATTAAAAACTTAACACAGTAAATGGAAAGACCGTGAAATGATGAAAATCTTATGGATGTCGATGGATCAAGCAAAAACACCTGATCAGATACCCAGGGACCGTCCTGAATAAATGATGAAATTTTCCAAAATAAAAAGCGCAAATAAAGTCTCTAGAGGCCCAAAGCATCAAGTAGAGTATATCCCTGAGCCCTCTGAATATTGGATTGCAGAGACTAATAGCAAAGGAGCTAGTTGTCTTGATACAAAAGTTCAGGTCCTCAGATTTGCACAAAATCCGGAGAAAGAGATTCAATGAAACATGACATGGGATCCAACACGAATAGAGTCATCTGAGGGTAGGCTAGATTGGAACTTGGCTGGCATTTATCCCTTTCCTCCATTATATTCTTTCAAAAATTTGCTTACTAATCCCGCTAATTATAGTTGAGAAATACCTGGAAGAAATAAAGAAGGTGTGGCCATGTAGTGAATTCAGCTACAGAGAGGAACTAGCGCTTTATTACTTGTACCTCAACAATTACGATATTATAAGGACTCTGTTGAGCGTCATCTACAATGTAGATGAACTCAGATATCTATATAAGAGTAAGTTGATTAATCCTTATCATCACTCTCTGAACTTCAAAATTTAGCATGGTATGATAAAACTGGTAGTCTTGCCAACGATATTATTGTCAAGCCCGTCAAGAGAGTTATTGGGGATGGAGAAAATAAAAGGTATAGTCCTCCTGAATTCATCATGAGTGCATAATTATCTAACTCTTTCTCTAGGATCCTGCGAACGCTAAAACAGAAGGTAGACTATACCGATAGAAAATCAATAACATTCTAATAATTTCATAACAATTTGCCTCTTATTTCGTTTGGTCTTTTTATGGTGTTTGGAAGTCTTCACAAATTTTAAAACTTAATCAATAAATTATCAGTTCCGACCTTATTTTTACTGGTGATGCTTGCAAATGTGGGCCTTCCTAAAGGACACTGCTATTGTATAAAACTTCCTTCGTAATATTTACCACTGAATTCTAATGCATTCCAGCCAGTCTTCAAGAAGAGCAGAGTCATTTCTTGTCAGGCCTGATGTTTTTACGATTTAATTCTTTAAATGCTCTTTGGCCACTTTTGAAGAAGGCTTAGTATAAGATATCTTTATTTCAAATTTTAGTAGAAACCAGCCATAGACCCCTGAACACAGAACTAGCTTGTAGAAAGTAAAGTCTGTGAAAATCTCTTTAGTAGCTTCAAACGAAAATTTTCTGATTGTTCCTTTCTCCTGAGCGAGATAGCATATTTATTTTTCAATACTGAACTGCTAATTAGGGGTTTTGGGGTTTTGGGGTTTTGGGGTTTTGGGGTTTTGGGG